GCGGTCTGGCAAGCTCTCTGGAGGAACTGACCCCTAAGCTGCCACCTAACAGATAAGTTGACATTTGCTAGTTTTGAGGGACAGTAGGAGCAAGAAGGGGAGAGTGACGCAAACCAAGAGAAGAGCGTATGGGAGGTCGGAGGGAAGTGAGAGATGGGCAGGCATGAGTGATGAAGGAAGCTCCCCGTGCTTGGACAGCATGCAAGTGGTGAGAAAGGAAGCCTGGAGATAACGCGGCTTCTCTGAGGCCTTGCCAGGGCACTAGTAAGGAGGGGGAGCTTTATCCTACAGGCTGCGGGACATCACTGAATCTCTGGCATCTGAGAAGGATCCCTCAGCAGTCGTGTGGAGAAGATTGAAGAGACTGAGCCTGGTGGCAGGATGCATCTCGAGATCAGGTGGGACAATGGCAGACTGGACCGAGATGGTGGCACCGGAGGTGAAGAGAGATGAACGGATTCTACCCCTAAAGTAAACCAAGAAGCCATCCGTAAATGGGGCGAGGACTCCCTCCAGATGCCAGCTCCCCCTCTGCCAGGGGTGACTCTGGTGGCTCAGTGAAAAAGCTGGCAGAGGAAATTATCGAACACAAAAATCTTGCATGGCCACAGATAGAAACTGTGTACATGCAAGCGCCTGACCCTGTGGGTAATCAGAGAGCAATTAGGCCTCACTCACTAGATGGAATCTGGCTCCTCCAGACTAAAATGGATTTGAAGTGGGTGGGAGTGATTACGCACAGGCCTGTGGCGGTACAATTACGGCTGCGGGAAAATGCAATGATCAGACTGAAGCAAGAGGAGCGCTAATTAGAGAGGCCAGGCTGGAACTGCAAGATGAGCAGATAATCAAGAAGAGAAATGGTGCTAGGCCTGAGCACTGTCCGCCGATGATTCCAGGAGAAGTCTGTTCCAAAGAACAGACGCTGAGAGAGGGCGAGAAACCTGCTGACAGCATGCCGCTGGGAGTGAGCACAAAAATACAGATGACAGCCTGGGGGACCTCTCCTAACTGGGCCATTAGACAATCAGTGACTCCTGCAGGCTTCCTGGGAGATGGGGGGAATTATATTGAGGATGTGGCCCAGGGGTGGAATCTCTCTTGCTCAATCTCCAGGCAAAGTGGAGGGAACTTTTCTTAACTGCTGTCTTCCAGCTCACTTTGGGCTGACCTTGGCCAATGCAATAGTGCTCATCCACTCATTCCCTTTTTGTTTGAGCCAGAATTTGAGAAGCTAGTGTCGGTAACAGTTTGCAGATGCATCGCACTTCATGGCTGACAAAGGTGTTCGCACAGATCACAGTAATCATGGCGATGAGAGCTAATTCCTCTGAGCACAGAGCAATTCCTCTGAGCCATGCCTTTTTGCTACGTGCTTTAAATGTGTTTTCTCGTTTAATCCTCACAACCTGTGAGGTAGGCACTATTGTCCTCAATTGACTGATGAAGAAACCAAAGTACAGAGAGGTGAATTAACTTGCCAAGTTCTTACGTGACGCCCACAACGACTCTGTGAGGGAGGTAGGGCAGGGTCTCCTCTATTTTATGGATGATCAAAGCAGGTTGGGAAGAGTTGCCCAAAGTCGGGCCCAGGTAGTCAGTGGCCATTCGTGCCCCATCCAAAAGTCTTTCTACCACGTGCCTACAAAAGCAGCAGCAGAGCTGTTGTTCTGCTTCTTCAAGTTAAAGGTGTGTTTCAGGGATGGTGTCCTGGTGCCTTGCCTGATCCACAAGGACAGTGGCCCTAGCTAACCACGTTGGCTGCGTGGGACTAGTCTGGGAGAAGTAAACATTGGAAGATAAGAATAAAATTGGGATAAAAGGGACCACACACTGAAGATCTTCTAGGACAGTCCACATTCAAGCTATTTTGTCCAGTTATCACCATAATTGTACTCACTCTTGTCACACTATGTAACTGATTTTTGGATAGGAAGAAATTTGTGTAATGGATGGATGCTGGGTCAGAGTGCCCTCTCCTGTCAGAATACTCCTTGTGCAGATGCTCTCTCCTTAGGGTGTCTGCTAGGTCTAGAGTTATTTTGTGTCATGAAAGACTGACTTTATGTATTAGTTATGCTGCGTAACAAATTACCCCCAAATTTAGTGGCTTAAACCAACACACATTTATTATCCCACAATTTCCACGGATCAGGAATCTGGGCACGGCTTAACTGGGTTCTCTGCTTCAGGGCCTCTTCCAGGCTGCAATGAAGGAGTCAGCCAGGGTTAGGGTCTCATCTGAAGGTTCGACTGGGGAAGTACCTGCTTCTAATCCCACACGGCTGTTGGCAGGATTCAGCTCCTTGAGGGCTACAGGACTGAGGGCCTCAGTTCCTAGGTGGCTGTTGGCCAGAAGCCACCCTCAATTCTTTGCCCTGTGGGCTTCTCCAACATGGTAGCTTGTTTCATCAATGTACCAAACAAGCCAAGAAGGTAATGGAGGAGAGTGTGCTAGGAAGATGCAAGTCCCAATATTTTGTAACCTAATCACATCCCATCACCTTTGCCTTATTCTATTAGTTAGAAGCAATTCATAAGGTCCAGTCCACACTCAAGGAGAAGGGTAATCACAGAGGGACATGAATACCAGGAAGCAGTGATTATTGGGGGCTATCATAGAAGTCTGCCAAACTCTACTCTGGTTTAAGAACGGAAGGCATAAGTCAGCAGCAAGTCGGGGGAAAAAAAGAAAGGCTACTATTGTTTGATCACTTATTATGTGCTGAGCCCTGTGCTAAGCACCTCACATGAATTAATTGTTTCATATAATTCTCACAACAATCCCGTGGCATAGATATTATTAGCCCCATTGTACAGATAACACGGAGTTCAGAGAGATTAAATAACTAGCTCAAGGTCAAATAGTAAACGGTGGAGCTAGGATTCAAAGTTAGGTCTGCCAAACTTCAAAGCCCGCTTCTAACCACCACCATCACTGGTCTGCCTTTTCATCTGTGCACCTGCCGCCTTCTTTCTGGTGCCATGGCCAGCACTGCGAGCCCAGACCTCACACTCTGCTGACAATAATGACCTCTGAGTGTGCCTTCCCGACTCCAGGACTCACCCTTTTAATCCTACTAGATATCCTCTTTCTTTAGTGCGATATTTGTTAGTGTGAGAAGGTCTAAGGCCTGCCGGGAAGGAAGCGATCTTGAGAGGTCAGGAGCAGTTTGGGGGAGGATAGCCTCTAAACAGAATTCTCTCCACATGGTTGGGGAGTGGACCGATTTGATCCCTGGACACCCATTTGCTGATGAGATCACAGACACTCAGGGGAACTAGAAGGACCAGGGCCTTCCTTGGGTACAAGTGAAGATGGGGAGGTAAAACCACCCATGATGGGCCTTTTAATAAATGCAGGGGTGAGAGATGGAAGAAGCCATGGGTTCAGTGAGCTGGGTGGATGATGGCCCCGCTCACTGAGACAAGAAGACCCGGGAGGGTGCAAAGGGAGAGAGGAAAGCAGTTTTGAATATGCTGAATTTAAGGGTCTGTGGATATTAGATGACTTTAAGGAAGTACTGTTCATCTTGCTGGATCTGATAATAGAATTGAAGATAATACTATGTATAATATCTATAACCTCTTAGAGCTAATTAACAAAATGAGATAATACAGCAAAATGAGATGATGTATGAGACTGCTTTAAAATACTCTAGCAACACCCAAGTTCTCTTGCGGCCTAGGCTTGGAACCAACACACTGTCACTTCTAACTTATAGGGCCAAAGCAAGTCACACAGTTGATACAGAGTCAAAGAGAGAGAAAATATCTCCAGTCTCCTACATGGGAGGAACAAAGGGTGGGTAAAAAGCTGAGGGTAGTAAATGCAATTTTGTAGCTAGAACAGGCATACCAGAGTTCTGTTTGTGTTAACCTTTTGGCTTGATCTACAAGACTCACAGCCTTAGCTCTTTCCGGCTGAAGCTGTTTGGGCCTGAGGAAGAGCCTGAACCCCAGGTGGGCCAAAGATTCTCCTTCAGGAGTCACTAGCCATGGGGAGTTGAGGCCAGATTATGTAAGGTCGGGCAGGGCTGTTTGAGTTGAGCCAAAGCTCTTGGAAAACCACAGTCACAGGGGCAGAAACTCAGTGTCACAGAAGAAGCTGAGAAAAGAGCAGAGATAGGCAGGGATGATCCGAGACCCAGGACTGTGAGGGGAGGAAGCCTGAGGAGGGGAGGGAGGGAGGGAGAGAGAACACATGCATGAGCAAGTGAGTGAGCTAGCAAGACACAAGCACAGACAGGGACACACGTACACAGGAAATGAATGGAGTAGTCTAAGAGATGCTTGGAGAGCAAAGGAGTGAGGCTAAGGAAGACAGCCGAGCCGAAGAGTGGCAGACTGAGAAACAGACCGTGTGCAGGCAACTGCCACCCTATGCGGTCTGTCCGCAGCCGGTGCAGTGAGAGTCCCTCGTGTCGCACGTGGATTAGTCTGAGTGGGATTATGGTCCTTGCACACGAAAGATTCCTTGATGAAGACATTCATGTCAAACTTTTAAGGTTTCACACAGTGCTTTCATGGGTATGTTCATTTAACTGACTATATTAATACTAAGATGGCCCCCAGTGTATGCAAGTCACCTCACTACTGAGGGTCCAAAGATTATGATCCAGTCTCTGCCCTTATGAAGATTAAATCAAGATTAGGGAAACAGGAAATTGTATGTCTGAATGGTTAAAAGTAACCCAACACAGTCAAGGACTGTCTACTCAGTGCTACAGAGAGAAAGGGCTGCAAAAGTTCAAAGGCAGGAGAGACGCATGGGGGTGGCAGCAGTCAGGGAAGGATCATCTAGAGGCAGTCAGACTTGATCTGGGCTGAGAATTGTGCCCAGGGGAGGAAGCGGTATGGAGGGGCCTGAGCCCAGGGACCCCACTGCCTACCTCAGTGCTATTACCTGAATTGCAGGAATAATAGCAAGAGGAATAATAATGCTCTGCAATTACCAGTCTTGCAAACTCAAACCTAGAAAGTCTCAGAGGTTTAGGGAGATGAGGCTGGCGAACGTAAAGGTAGGAAAACTCGTTGAGAGGCTGTTGCAGAAGTCTGGGCCCAGAGCAAAGAAAAGCTAGACAGAGACGGACAGCACAGGTGCAAAAGTCAGCCAGGCCCATGATGAGCAGAGGAAGGAAGAGGATCAGGGACTCCGATTTCACTGGTGTGAGCGGGGGCCTTAGGTGTCATCATTTTCAAAACCTTCTGGGTGACTCTAATGTGCAGCCAGGGCTGGGAACCATTGTTCTGCGTTTTCATGAGTGGGAGACAGAATTATACCCCTGTAGACAAGAAGAAAGTGGGAAGTAGGTATAGCCAGATAGAGATAGTGAGATTATTTGACTTACGATGTTGAGTTTGAGGTGACTGCTTGATGTTAATGTAAAAAAAAAATCCACTTGTCATTTAGAAATGTGGGTCATTGGAACAACAAATTGGGGAGTAAACTGCAGAGAGGAAAGAGGTGGAACAATGGATCTGTTCAAAGGAAAGAAAGAGAAAGAAGAAGAAAGGCACAGCCTGGATCCTATTAGCTGCTTTCCATGCAGAATTGTTGGGAGAACCGAAAGTTGGTGGGAAACGTCCCTCACACAGGGGGTGGCACATAATAAATGGAACTATGAGTTAATATAATCTCATTCCCTCCAAAAATGACTCTAACAGGTGGGGATTAACAGTCGAGTTTAAAGGTGAGAAAGGAGATTCAAAGAACCTTATCCAAAGTCCTACAGTTAGTAAATTTAGAGTTAGGATCCAAAGTCAGGTGACTGAGGCTCAAAGACCAGCTCTCCCACTACAGTAATCATAGCAGAGGGCTGAGCACGGAAACCTGGGCACCAAGCTAAGGAGGTGGGAGGAACAATTGGCCAAGGAGACGGGCAAAGTCAGGAAGGCAGGAGGAAAGCCATGGGTGTACCACATGGGGTCAGGAGGCCAAGAGAAGGGAGGATCTTGAAGAGATTCACCATGTACCCTCGCCATGTCCACGGTGCAGTGGGCGTGGGGAGGAGAAAGCCAGAGACAACACAAGGGAAACCATTTAAGACTTTTGGAGGTGTAGGAGGGATGTGTGCGGACTCGTCCCCTGGAGAGGGCCTAGAGTGGCGAAGGAGAAAAGCAACAGGTGGATGCGTGTCCTAGACATGCGTCCCAGACACCCTCTCACAGTCCTCATGAGACCCTATGAGACAGGCGCTATTATCATCATTTCCACTTGACAGGTGAGGCTCAGGAGTGAGTACCACGTGAGGATTCCAGTTCAGGACGATGAAGGCCAGGCTTCTTTTCAAAACTGCACTCTTCTGCAGGGACCTGTTCATCACCTTCAAACAAGGCCTTGCTTAATGACTTGGAATAACGCAAGACATGAAAATTACATACCTGGTGGAAGGTCACACAATCCATCCTGTCGTTGTTATCCTCATCCAAGGACATCCTTTAAACACGTGGTCCTCATAAATCAAGATACCCATATCCATTCAGGCCTCTAAACAGTGCTTCCCAAATCTTAATGTGTGTCAAATCACCCAGAGATCTCTGATTGAAGTAGTTAGAGGTTCTGATTTCTAGTGATGCTGCTGGTCCACAGTCCACACTTTGAGCAGCAAGGCCTTAGGGCAGTGGTTCCCAAACTTTTCTGCACATTGGAATCACCTGGAGAATTTCCAAAACTACTGATACCTGTTTCCCACCGCTAGGGAATTGTGATTTAATTGGCCTGGGGTATGCTCTGGGCTTGGAATTTTTAGAAGATCCCCATGTGATGTAAAGTGCAGGCCAGTTTAGGAGCACTGTCCTCCTGAGGCTTGAAGAGGCAGCCTGTAGAAAGCATGCAAGGAAATGAATCGATAAAGATGACGAACCGATAATGCGGTAAGAATACAATAGCTTAAACTATGCAAGGTCAGTACTTTGAAGAGGGTAGTGGCAGTTGGGAAACACGTCACACTCAAGCAGCGCCTAGGAATCTGTCGTGCCTCTGAGGCACGAGCGCCTGTTGCTGGGAAGACGAAGCCCTCGGCTCCCTCTCGTACACAGCACCCGTTCCTCACCGGTAGCGGGCGGGGCGCGGGCCGGCGCAGGCCTTCCTGGAGCATGCGCGAACGCGCCGCCGGCGTGGGCGGGGCCTGCTGTCCGCGCGCAGGCGCACCACTCCCGCCCGCAGGCCCGCGCCCCCGGAAGTGCGGCGGAGTCACGCGCGCGGTCAGCCCGGGGGGTTGGCGCCGGGCCGGGCGTCGGCCGCGCGCAGCCGCTTGGTCCACGTGGCTGCGCACCAGGCCCCCAGCGCCCTGGAGCCGCCGGCCTCGGTTGCCGAGGCGGTGTCATCCCTGACCATCGTCGACGCGTTCACCGCGGCCGGCGAGAGCCCCGCGGCGGCGGCCCCCGCGCTCCCCAGGAGGTTCATCTGCTCCTTCCCCGACTGCAGCGCCAGTTACAACAAGGCCTGGAAGCTCGACGCGCACCTGTGCAAACACACGGGGGAGGTAACGAGGCCGCAGAGGGGCGTGGCGGCCAGGCCCAGGGACGAGGGACGCGGTGGCCGGCCCGGTGGGCGCTGCCCAAGCGGCCTGGCGACAGCGCGTGGGTGCGCAGGGCCGGCTGTGCAGAATGTGTTCAGCTTTGGCACCTTGGCCCGCGGAAGCGAACCAGCTGTGCCTTAGGTTAGGGAAGGAACATGAACAGGTAGACCAGAAGTTCTAGGACCGAGCTCTCCGCGCTGTGGGCTTATTAAGAACCGCCCCCCCCCCCCCCTTTGATCTTGAGTCTTGGCCAGTCACCACCTCCCCATCATCTGTAAATACGTGCACGGTTGAAAACCGCCCCCACAACAGACACCTGTCTTAAGCACCGGCCTCCGGGAACTGGAATGGGAGATAACTCCTAAGTACTGGAGGTTTTGCAGGCAGCGTGCGTTTATTCTTTCCTAATTCGGTACCATCCCAGCACTGGAGAGAGCGAGCAGTGAACAGGGAAGGCTTCTGCTGTCGCCAGCCTCTCGCTTTAAGGGGGACAAACGAACGAATAAGTAGGACTGAGTCGCAGTGAGGCGAGGGCTGCGGCGACTGGTCAGGAACAGCGTTTTTTGACTGGAATGACAAGGGAAGGATCCAGCCATGCAACATTTGAGGGACACACAGTCTGGTCAGAGAGAGCTGCGGATGGAGCCTGTGGTCCTGGGGTGGAGGGCAGGCCCGTGTCATGGGCTAGGGGACCACAGGGCAGGAGGCCTGAGAAGCAGGCCTAGAGGGGTCATTTGTAGGCCAGGGTATGCAAGAGTTTGGGTTTTATTTTGAGGGCAATAGGAAGCCTTTGGAAGATGGCAGGTGAGGAAAGGGAGGCTCAGGGAGGCTAAGGAATCTGCCCAGTTTCCCAGATTTGGCAGAGCCTGGCTTTGTGCTGCCTCGGCTGAAGGCCTTAGTTCTTAAACCAGGGCCCGGCAGTCCCTGCCTTTGCTTCTCCCACCTGCCTCACTTACAGGCCACTCCTCCCTGTGTCTTCATGGTTCCCATCCTCCTTGCCCTCTGCAGCATTTGAAGGCTGACCATTTACTCCTTGGGACCTTTTCCTCTTTCTCTTCCACCCTTTTCGTTGGCTTCTCTTCTGCCCTCTGCTTTGTCCACCCTGCCCGGTCCTCTCTTGGTGGTCTGCCCCGGGGCCTGGCTTCACTTGTGACATCCATCATGCTCTGCCTCCGTGTCCTTCCTCTTGCCCATTCTCTCCTCCACACTTTGGGCTCTGTAATCAGTGTTCAAATTAGAGCTCACCTTTCCTTTTAGACTTGTGTGCTGTATTTTGGATATTGGCATTACCAGCTTCCTTCATACAGGCTGGAAAACTCGGAGTCATCTTTGTTGTCCCAAATCTCACACGTTAATTTGACAAATATTTATTGAGCCTACTTCATGGCGAGCTGTGAAAAGTTCTGTGGATCTGCTCTGGTCATGTACCTCGTCTGTCTTCCTGTCCTCTTGCTTTGCTACTAGTACTTGCATCTGAGGCCTTGGTACCTCCCTCCTGGACTGTCGTGGTGGTATGTTTTCCATAGTTAAATAGACACAACTGGTTATTTGAGGGGTGTGTTTTGGCTTTTCCTATAGGTTCAGAATGGAGTCCCCTCCTGCCGACTCCTGGCTCGCAGGTGTGGTTGTGATTAGGGCTGTGAGCTGTTTGCCCGGGCACCTGTGAGCTCTTTCAGGTGTGAAACATTGTCGTGTAGCTGTGCCAGGCATTTTCTTAGCACAGATGCTGGGCTTGTCCAGGATGAGACAGAACCTGCACGTTCCTCTGCTCTAGCCTTTGAATGGATAAAAACAGGCCGCGGTGGAGATCTGTGCAGACAGGTCATGCTAGTGGCAGACAAGCCATCTTTAAGGGAGTTGCTGCTGCAGTCTCAGGTCAGGAGCAGGTGAACAGTGCTGTACGGTCACTGTGAAGGCTGCCTGCTTATTTCATATGCTGTTCATAGAACAAAATCTGCTGCGGTGGCTTTGTGAGAAGTTGTGGCATTTGTGTTGTGTAACTTCACACAGGAAAGCGTTACCTGGGCATGGTGTAGCAGGTGCTGCACGCTTTGTGAGTAGAAACCATCTCTGGAGACAGAGTCCGTGGCTTTGCCTACTAGACATTTTAGGCCTGAAAATAATACCAGAGCTACTAACTAGGGCAGAATTGATGTGCTTTTTTTCTTTCTTTCCTGCCTGCTAGAGACCATTTGTCTGTGACCATGAAGGGTGTGGCAAAGCCTTTGTCAGGGACTACCATCTGAGCCGCCACATCCTGATTCACACTGGAGAAAAGCCATTTGTGTAAGTAGTCAACTGTTTAAGGCCTTCGAAGTGGTTGTTTGGCAAATAGACCTGGTGAGAACGTTGATTGTTCACCCACGAGGTCAAGAACGTTAAGCTTCTTTGCTTTGCATCTTCTGATGTAAGAGGAGACTAAGTTTTGAATGTGTGGAAGAGAGGGGTTTTGTGGGTCATGTGTGTGATAACTTCAGGAGTGAGTAAATCTGAAGTTCTCTTGAGTTCCCACCCTCTCATCTCCCTGCAAAATGTATACTAGATGGGAAAGCAGCCCTGAAAAACACGTAATTCAGACTAGATGGAAAATGGTTCCCTGACGTACTCTTGGCTCCACATTGTCAGGGTCTTCGTAAACTGACAAGCTGCTGGGATAAGAGAGAAGCATGAAGTAGAGCTTTTAATGGTTTATCTTGTATTTCTTCAAATTAGGCCTCTGTACCTCTGTCATACCAGTTTTAATTTTAGTCTTCTTGGAGTTACTGATTATTTCTGAGAGGATAGAGGTATAGCTTTTCTTTTAAAGCTATGGATTTTAGGGGGCCAGCCCCCTGGCCGAGTGGTTAAGTCCATGCGCTCCACTTCAGCAGCCCAGGGTTTCATCAGTTCAGATCCTGGGCACGGACCTAGCACCGCTCATCAAGCCATGCTGAGGCGGCGTCCCACATAGCACAACCAGAAGGACCTACAACTCGAATACACAGTACATAGAGCACAACTATGTACTGGGGGGCTTTGGGGAGAAGAAGAAAAGAAGAAAGAAAAAAGGTTGGCAACAAATGTTAGCACAAGTGCCACTCTTAAAGAAAAAAAAAGCAGTGGCTTCAAATTTAGGGGGCATCAGAATCACCTGGAAAGCTTCTTAAAACAGTGCTGACCCACCACAGAGTTTCTGGTTCAGGAGGTCTGGGGTGGGGCCTGAGAATTTGCATTTCTAGCACATTCCCAGGTGCTGGTGAAAATGTTCCATGAAAACAGTTAGTTTTCACTGAAAAAAACAAAATAAATGTAATAGCTGTCCAGAGCTGTATGCGGGAGACTGTGTCAGAAAACAGCTGTGTGGCAGGTTTTGCAGATGCTGGAATTTGGTAGCATAGTTTTGTTGCATGAGACAATTCCTTGAGCAGTAAGCTTTTCTAACGGCCTGAGTTGATTTCTTTTAGTTTTAAGAGGATGATGGATGTGAAGTGTCTCCTGTCTCCCTAAGGTCCAGGCAGTGTGAGGAAGGTGGGTTCTCGACACAGGATTGCCTTCACTGTGGTTTGCCGCATGGAGAGCCATCTCCTCTCCGGCTGAGCACGTGTGGCCCGCGGGAGTGGGGCAGAGTCCCGAGGACGGCCGTGTCTTCACTTCAGTCCCAGTTCAAGCAGCCAGTGTGTTGTCAAAATAAATGACCCTGAGGGAAGCTTCATTTATTTCAAAGTACAGTTCAACTAGATTAGCAAGGAGTAAGCGTGGTCTGGAAAATAGGGCTGGAGGTTTCGCTTTGGGGAGTTTATTCTACAGCTAGACTTGTGCCTGAATTAAATGTCTGTACCAGGTTCTGTGCACCACGACCTGTAGAAGTAGAAGACGGCTACCTTTTTGTGTGTGAAAAGGAGGGGAGGGGGAGACAGGATGAACCTGTATTTATATTTTCTTCTATTTGTGTAAAGAAACCCTAAAAGTTACATAACAGAACTGAAAATGTTGTCACCTGTCTTGGGAGTGGTGGGGAGGGCTGGGTGGGACGGGGCAGATGTGGAAGGAGTCGTGGCTGTGTCCCTTTTTATGCTTTTTGGTTTCTGAGCTGAGTAACTGTACCCTATTTAAAAAACAGAATCTTAAAGAAAGCATGGGTCTGGGTGCAGATGCACTGGATGGATTAGAAAGGCGATGGTTATTCCCGCTGGAACCGGACAAGCGTGTGGTAATCTCCTCCGGCTCGCTCGCTCGCCCAGACCTCTCCCTTTAGCTCTGGATCTCCGTTGTCCAGCTGCTTGCTGGACAGTATCACGTGGTTGCCTCTCTGGCTTCTTAAATTCCACGTGCCCGAAACCCCTCACCGTCCAACCTGGGCTCCGCTTTCCCTGTGGTCCTCTCGTCCCTTGTTCTTGTCAGGTGGCGTTGCTGTCATCCAGTGACCCACAGTGAAGAAGAGCAGCTCCCGTGGATGCTTCATTCTTTCCCACCCTCTACAGCAAACAGGTCACCAGGTGTTGCTACTTACCCCTCAGATCCCTCTCCCCTGCTCCAGCTGCCACTGTCTCAGTCAGGCGCTGCCCTCCTCCGTGAGGAATGGAAGTGTTTTCTCTGCCCCCCGACTGGCGCTCTCCCTCAGTACCCTCCAGGGGGCTTCCGTCCCTAAAACCCCGCAGTGCTTGTAAGCACCGCTTACACAACAAAGTCCGGGTTCTTAGGACGTCACAGAGATGACCTTTGTGATTTGACCTTTCTGTGCTCTTGCCCCATTTGCTTGACTCTCACACATGGAATTGTGGTCCAGCCATGCTTAACTGAGCAGCAGCCCCCCGCACCCCCGACTTTGCCAGGGTCTTTCATGTCCCGTGCCTGCTGTTTGGTCCCTGTCAGGACTTTTCCTGGCCCTGTCCTCCTGCCCCACGCTTGGGTTAGATGGCTGTGTCAGGATTGAAGTCAAGAGTGACAGAAAACCCAGCCCAATGGAGGCTTAAACAGGAGAGTCTCTTTCTCTTGCGTACGTGAAATGCAGAAGTGAGAGGTAGATGGTCAAGGGGTGCTGCACAGTCCTCAGGCCCCGGGCTCCTTCTAACCCGTCTCTGCCATCCTCATCTTGGGGCTTTAGCATTGTGGTCCGGGATGCCTGGTGGAGCTCTGGTTGTTGCATAAGCATTCTAGCCACCAGAATGGAGGAAGGGGGCAAAAGAAGTATGCCCCCTTTTTAGACACTGCCGGGGGGGGAGGTGATCAGGATGGACCAGAAACTTAGCCTTGTGGCCACCCCTAATTGGAAAAAGCTCTATTTCTGTTGGCTGTGTATCCAGCTAAAACTCCGAGTTCTGTTCCTGAGGTCAAAAACCACACCTGCTGCTACTTGTAGCAATCTCTGCCACAGTGCTCCTCTCGTGGGCTTCCAGGGGCCTCTGGCAGATCTCCCACTGTCACTGTGCGCCTCTGTCCTTCTGCCTGTCCCTGAGGATAGCACAGTGCCTGATAGGAGTATTCAGTGAATGGCAGCTAAGATCAGGGCTTGTAAGGAAGTCCTGCTTCGTCCATCAGGCTTATGAAAACTCATCACAAAAAGAGCACATATTTAAAAAAAAAAACACAGGGCTGGCCCCGTGGCCGAGTGGTTAAGTTCGTGTGCTCCGCTGCGGCGGCCCAGGGTTTCGCCAGTTCGGATCCTGGGCATGGACATGGCACCACTTGTCAGGCCACATTGAGGCGGCATCCCATATGCTACAACTAGAAGGACCTGCAATTAAGATATACAGCTATGTGCCGAGGGGATTTGGGGAGATAAAGCAGAAAAAAATAAATAAATAAAAATTAAAAAAATAAAAACACAGCGTCACAAAGAATTTAGATAATTTGAGGCCAAGATACAGAAACGCTCCTTAAGGGGAACTAGAATGGCTTGGTGATGTGCCAGAGGCATCGTGGTTTATGGTTCTGTTCTCAATATCTGTTGTTACCTCTAATGATGAGCTGAAACTAGTTTTTTTGAGGTCTTTTGGAAATGCAGGTTATAGTGACATTTCAAGCAAAATTAAGGTTATCAGATTCCAAACTGAGAACTTACTTAAATACGCCTGAAGCTTAAGCAAGCTTTGGTTTTTGGGCCCTACTGTTTCTCCTCTTCCCCCTGCCCGGTGTGGAGGGGAGGTCTGCCACAGTGTGCTTGATTTCAGAAGCCTAACGTGAAAATGCACCTCGTCATGTTATGTGATGAAACCACGTCAGAGTTAAGAGGCCTCCATGGTATGGCTTCACACTTTGGAATGTGTTAACGACTATTTTATACTGTACTTTGAAATAATTAGCTTTCATAAAGTAGGAGGATATACACATCTTAAAACGCTTCTTCCCTTGGTTTACTGCTTTGATTTTATATACTTTCTTACAGTTGTGCAGCTAGTGGCTGTGATCAAAAATTCAACACAAAGTCAAACTTGAGGAAACATTTTGAGCGCAAACATGAAAATCAGCAGAAGCAGTATGTAGTAAGTATGAATGATTTTATATGCTTAAATTCTATTTGTATGCTATCGCCTATGTTTCTAAGATTTTCATCATCCAAATTTTGTCAGTGACGCTAGCTATCATAATAATGGTTTATTTTGAAAGCATTTTTTTTTGCTAACTCAGGTACGTTATCGGCAGGCTACCTCCAATGAAACATTTTTGCTCTTTCAAATGTGTTTCTCTTTAAAGCTTCCTGACAGAGTTTTATAGTAACTAAACGGTGAAAGTAGCAACTATGTAACATCCACAATATTTTTATCCTGAAAGGATTCTGTTATGAACTGTCTTTGATTTTTCTCAAGACTAACACACCTCTACCAAACAGTGCAGTTTTGAAGGTTGTGAGAAGACCTTTAGGAAGCATCAGCAGCTGAAAATCCATCAGTGCCAGCACACCAACGAACCGCTGTTTAAGTAGGTATTTTACGTGGGGGAAAATCGCTTACATTTCAGGCGAGAATCAGATCGAAAAGCAAAGGTTGGATACAAATGTTCTGAAGCAGTTTCTTAATCAACATTTTTCTTTTAACATGTACAGTATATACCCATTTACATATTGGGGCATTTTAAAAGTTTAATTTTGCTGTTGTTTCTCTAAAAGAAATATTTAATGTTTCAGAATAATTTGTGAGATTAGTATAATTGTGGTTAAGCTTGAAGGGAGGGCTAAGAAGTGACTTGACTGTTTAGAGCATGTTCAATGATAGGAAATGTCATTATGAAGACACTGAGTATTCCTTTCCTACAGAACAAAAGTGAGTGAGCTTAGCCTGCATTAGAGAGGGTTTCGTGGGGAACATGAAAGGGCAGCTGGACATGCTGGAACAGACTTGCCAAGGGCATCGAGGAGCCTGACTGCCTGCTCGAAGGTGGTCTTGAAGAGTGCTGGGTGGCTGGCCAGGGCCGCCTCCTGCTACACAGGACGCCTCGCCCTGGGAGTTGCTGCAGGGCCTGCGCCTGGCCTTGCTTGCAGGTCTGCCACTTCTGCTTGTCTGCTGACGCCTAACACAGCAGTGGCGTGTGCTCTCTATTGCTCACAGAGGCGGCTGCACCTGCTGCTGTGCTTTTCATGCTGTCCCAGAGCAGCAGCATTAGAAAAACTAGACACAGACGATTCAGGGTGGCTTAGTGGTTTAGCTAAGCCATCTATTTTTAGCCATGAAAACAGTCTATTTTTAGAAGTATAAAGATGAAAACATGGTTATCACTTATGTTAATAAGTTATCATTTATTAACATAAATTGCTTATGTTAATTTGATCACATAAGCAAAAAGAAAGTAATGACCTTTTTCTCTCAGTTTGTTTTGCCCCAAGGTTGGTCAAGTAAGTTGAATTTCACGTCTGATCAGGTCTAAATTTTAAATCTCCTTTTTTTGACTGGTTTGCTTGTGGGAGAAAAGGACAGAGTAATGTTTACCGCGAGTGGAGTTCCCCGTGACAGTGGACGGGCTAATTCTCCACCTGTTCTTAACCCAGGTGTACCCATGAAGGATGTGGAAAGCACTTCGCTTCTCCCAGCGGGCTCAAACGGCACGGGAAGGTCCATGAGGGTACGTATGGACCTGCTTTGTGACGCTCACTCTCAGCGAGACACCAGCATGGGGTGTATTTGGTTCTTCGACCCGCTCGGTGCCTTCTGCCCTAGTCCGTGGTCATACTGAGAAACTCGGAACTTTGCAGGCAGGGGCACCGCTCTGCTTATTCGGGTTTATACTCTTTTTTTTTTTTTCAAAGATTTTATTTTTTCCCTTTTTCTCCCCAAAGCCCCCCTGGTACATAGTTGTATATTCTTCGTTGTGTGTCCTTCTAGTTGTGGCACGTGGGATGCTGCCTCAGCGTGGTTCGATGAGCAGTGCCATGTCCGCACCCAGGATCCGAACCAACGGAACACTGGGCCGCCTGCAGTGGAGCGCGCGAACTTAACCACTCGGCCACGGGGCCGGCCCCGGGTTTATACTCTTGAGCAGAGAGGCACTGTTTGCTGTCGCTTCTTCCCCTATCTGTTGTTGTCGTTCAGAGTTAATGTTCTGTTGTTTACAGTGAGTGCCTGGCTGTGCTTTATACTTAGGAATGTGTTGGTTCTCCAGCCAAGGTTTTGCTTTTTCACACTTGTTTCTAACCTCTTCTCTTTACCACCTGGGCCGTTCTTTTCCTTGTTGGCCTTCGAAGGGCTTGGATAAGAGTTTGAGGTTTTCACAGTAATCAGATTGCAACTTTTTTCAAAAAGACTTCATTAAACTAACTACTTGAATCTATTATCTGTTTCCATGAGGGATTTTTGATAATTCCAATTTCCAAATCCCTAGGATTTCTGAGATTTTTTTATTATTATTATTTAACAAGAGATTAGTAGCTGAGAGTGAGGAGCAGCCTCACTCTTTTTAGTTTCTAACTGGTATTTAGTTAGGTGAAACTCAGGTTGGCTGTCACACTGATTAATCCAACTCTGGTGCTTTGCACAGTGCCTGTTTGTGTGGAGTGTTTTTTCCTGGGTTCTTCTGGTTTTTTCTTCATAAGCTGTACCCTGCTGCTTTTTTGCAGCAGGACTCTTACTGGATGGTAGGACTCGAGGGAGCCAGGGGGTGGGCACATAACTACTGAGATAGAGTGTTGGTGGTTTGCCAGGGACAAAGGACCACATAACTCTTTTTCTGAGGAAAAAAAGAGCAAGCAGAAAGCAGAGCAGGGAGAGGGGCTGTGAGCATGAGCCGTGGAGCGGGGCGTCAGAGCAGCTGGGGGTGCGTGTGCAGGATGCCCCCTGACAGAAGAGCCGGAAGGGGAGGGCACCTTCCTGTGCAGTCTGTGAAAGTAAAAGCCTGTAGGAAGTACCTTCATGCAAGTGTTTGGTTTTACTGTAAAGTAAGCTTTTCTGAGATTTTGTTCCCACCTCTTGAGACTAACAGAATACTCTTGGGAAGTAGGTGAAAAATTATAGAGGCATGTAAGTTTCCTTTCTAATAACCATTGATGTTTACACTGAATATTCACAAAAGGCAATGCAACAATTTTTTTAATAGGTTATATATGTCAAAAAGAATGTTCCTTTGTGGCAAAAACATGGACAGACCTTCTGAAACATGTGAGAGAAGCCCATCAAGGTAAGGCAGTTGTGAATGGGATGGTGTCACTATTTGTCCCTAGAGAACTGAGCTCATGCTTTTAAAGAGTGAAATATTAAAAATGTGCTCTAAAATAATCGTTTCTATAGTATGTCTTGTGAAATGCTGGGTACCTCAGCTGTCTGACACGTGAGCAGAGATCTGTGGTCCCAAGGTCAGAAGAGCTCTGCCGGGTCCCATCTGCTGTGGACACCAGGCGTTCTTAAAGGCTCTGGCAAGTGAGGAGTCTCAGTCGGTGCTGGTGTTCTGAGGGACAGTCTGGGAAAAGTGCCTGTGGACTGGACCACAAGGAGCGAGGCGGGTCTGTTTAATTCTCTCTCCTTGTCCACAGCCACCTGCTCCTTAGCAATGGAACAGTGACTTTATGTGATATAAGAACTTGTGAAAATTGAGACCAACTGTCAAGCAATAAAAACTGGAGTTAGTTTGCTCTGAAATTTCTGATTTATGATAATCACAAGGTTTTTGGCATCAAATACATTACTTATACACTCAATATTAATTTTTTCTATATGGTAATACCTGGAGAGAGTGGCTAAATTTGTTTTTCTACTCCCCCAGAGGAGATAAGATGTGAAGTATGCCAGAAAACATTTAAACGCAAAGATTATCTGAAGCAACATATGAAAACTCATGCCCCAGAGAGGGATGTGTGTCGATGTCCAAGAGAAGGCTGTGATAGAACCTACACAACTGTGTTTAATCTCCAGAGCCATATTCTCTCTTTTCATGAGGAAAGGCGCCCGTTTACATGTGAACATGCTGGCTGTGGCAAGACGTTTGCAATGAAGGTGAGCACTCACCCTCACAGGTGCCGTCCTTTAGGTCTGTGGCTTTCCAGCTGGGTGTCTAGGAGCCCTGGATTCCAGGATGGTGGCCCAGGGCCTGCACATGGGGAAGGCTGGGGGAGCATGGCTCTAGACCGGTCGTCCACTCTGCTTTAGCAGGAGTGGTTCTTAGCTCAAGCCTGCAAAACCACCAGATTGACCTATGCCAGTGGTTCTCAAAGCGTGGCCCTGCACCAGGAGCATCAGCATCACCTAGGAACTTGCTAGAGAGCATATCCGCAGGCCTCACTCTAGACCTGCTGAGTCAGACACTGTGGGGGTGGGGCCCAGTAATTTGTTTTAACAAACCCTCCAGGTGATTCTTCTATAGGCTAATTTGAGAACCAGTGGCCTGTGGTACCACATGCTTTTTATTGGAGTCTGCTGATATTTTGGGTGTCCTTTTAGACTGCCATCATTAAGGACTGAGAAGGGAAGGGGGCAGCAAGGACACGAGGGACCATACAACTCCGGGGATTTGGTCTAGATCTTGGTGTGATTCGAATTGGTAAGAACATGACGCTAAGTGGAGGGACCCATGCAGTTTCGCAGACTCTCACTCGAGTTGGTGCTCCTACAAGCGCTTACCATGGATTATAATAAAGGCTGAGGAGGGAGATGCTGGCTCAGCAGAGGTCCAAACCGTTGGAAAATAACTTCAGCATTATCATCAAGCACAGCAAGACTTTGTCAGAATTTCCACTGGTTTTGGGGAATGCTGTTGATACATTCAAAGAACCTCCTTCAGCTTGGAATAGTTATTCAGAACTCGCTCCCCACGCCCCCTTTCTTATGCCAGAACTAAGAAGCCGTGGGTAATTGAGACTGGATGAATTCCTAAGCTGGGTCCTGGGAGAGGTGGGGATCGAGGTCCACGATTTGAGGAATTCTACTCTGGTGGGGGAATCCTTTTAGGTAGAGGTCAGATCCCTCAACAGAACATAACAGAAGTCTGACAGTTTAAGTAACTCACGGAGTTTCATTTTAATAGACACCAAATGGTAATGTCTCTATAACTTTTTGTCTTTCCTTCATTGTAGCAAAGTCTCACTAGGCATGCCGTTGTGCATGACCCTGACAAGAAGAAAATGAAGCTCAAAGTAAGTTGAGACAACTTAGGCTTTCTGTTAACTTAAAAACATAGATTGCTTAAGCCAGATGCAATCTACTTAGTATATTTTCAACTGCGTATTACTGTGTGCGTCTGCGCTACTACTGACAGTGACCGTATGCACTTCACTTCCTCATAAAGGGATGCTGGGTACCTGTCAGGGCGTACACCTATTGGAAAGTCAGTTCACATAGGTTTGATTTTGAATTCTAACCATCTGTTTTCCTTGTTTCCAAAGGTAAAACCTTCTCGTGAAAAGCGGAGTTTGGCCTCTCGTCTCAGTGGATATATCCCTCCTAAAAAGAAACAAGAACAAGGCGTCTCTCTGCCGACAAACGGAGAGTCACTGCGCTGCCCTCCAGACCAGGTGCCCCTGACTGCCGCAGTGCTCGCCCTCAGCCAGAGAGCAGCTTGCTTTGTTTAAAAGGACTACACATCAGCCAGCTCAGTTATTTTTTCTTGGCAGCACATTTTTCTTTATTAAAATTACTGATGCAGAACATCTAATTCTCTATTCTATTTTCTCTGTTCAGAGTGTCTCCTTTCTGGGTCCCTTGAGTTTCTCTATATGCATCCTCTTCCTTTTTGCTCAAATGACGAAGCACACACATTACAGCTTTTCCTCCTTTAACAGACTGTGGCCTGGATGAGAAGGTAGCTATTCCAGGCATAGTCTGGAGTATGTGATTAAATATCTCCTCCTAATAAAGAGAAAAGAGCCAAAGATTAATTTAAAACCAATGTCTTTGAACAGGGCCTTTAAGGAGGCAAGTAAGGTTAAATGAAGTCAAAAGGCTGGGGCCCTAATTTAATATGACTAATGTCCTTATAAAAAGAGGGAGAGACACCAGGGATGTGTACCCACAGAGAAAAGGTCCCAGGAGGGAACAGGGAGAAGGCGGCCATCTGCCACCGGAGAAATCAAACCTGGGACACTTAGATCTTCAACTTCCAGCCTTCAGACTGTGAGACAATAAATTTCTGTTGCTCAAGCCAAAAAAAAACCCAAAAAAACAAAAAACCAATGTCTTTGACTCTTTCTGGTGTTAATGCTCTAATATCCATACAACCATCATTCTTGAATTGCTGCTACTTAAGTGATTAGCTTATCAAATCATACATATGTGGTTAAGCTGATTGAAACCTATACGATAATCAGGCAGTTACACAAATTCCATGTAACTAAACTAACGCAGTAAAGGCGTGATAGTTTTAAATCTCCACTCTGTCATGGCACTGAGGGGCTATGTTTGGCCCCAGACTACCCCCTCAAAAAAGTACTACAAAGCAGTGGGTTTGGGCCCTGGCAGAGTACTTCCCCACATCCCCAAAATTTGTTAGCCCAGTGCAGTTCCCACCACTCACTAACACAGAATCACCTGGGGCGATCGGAAAACTGCAGACACCTGGTTCTAGAGACGCTGGGTCGGCTGCGCTGAGACCTAGGCCTACGTGATTCGAACGTGGAACCAGGCTTGAAGCCACTTAGACTAATGCTGCCTTCCAGTTGCTGGTAAGTTATTGAAGTCTAAATGCATAATACATGTTCCATAAACTTATCCTGGGATTGTAAACTAATACACACTTTCCAGAAGACAACTTGACTAACACACACACACAGTGCTCCTCAGAGGCATTTAAGAAAACGAAACAAACTTTAAAAAATGAATCTATGCACTTTATAGTTTTCCTATTTAAATGTTAGATATTCTACAATTTGTAAAATAGAATGGTATATAGCCCTTAAATTATGAAGTAGAATATTTCACATGGCAAAATATTTATGCTACAATGGAAAAAGCAATGTAGATACAGTAAGCTTGCCTTTTGAAAACAAACTGGAAGGCTACCAGCACCACTGGGTGGAATTACCAGATGCTTTTCTTTGCCTTTACATTTTCCAGATTTTCTACAATTATATTTTTAGGTCAGAAAACAAAAAACACAAGCAGTTACTCATACCTGCTTTTACTTACTATTTTATTTTCTGGCTCTTCTGCATTCTTCCCTTTCTTTATAGTAATTTGAACTTTGTATTTTTTCTCAATCCATTGCTGAATCTGTTTACTCTTTGTGTCCAAATCATGTTGTCCAATGTTTGAAGAAAACGTTAGTTCCTTTGTCAGGGTCGGTCCTAGTTTGAAACAGTTAGACTTGGTGCCAGGACTATTTACTATCCACTGAACTTGATCACCCACACTTCATAAAATCTTAGCTTGCCACCGACGCCCTAATGGTCTTTTCATCTGATTTTAGTTTCACAGACGAGTAAACACTTTTTTAAACAGGAGAGACAGACATAAAGGTACCAATTTTTTACCTGACAAGTCTTTAAACATGAAATGCTTCCACTTAATGTTACTGTCATTTGAGGAAAGAACAACAAAAGAATAGTCCTTTATAAAAGGAGCAGATTTAGCTTTCTGATAATTGTCCCTATTTTTCTTTGGGATGTGCATCAGCATCTGGGAAGTGCTCTTCATCTGACTCCTTTTGCGGTGCCCTCCTAGCTACAGTGGGGTCATCAGACTGCGGCAGACAAGGGGGAGCTCGCCAGGTCCTGCATTTACTCACTCTGCCTCTGGAAAGCCTGACTGTCAGGCAGTTATCTTAAAGGGAAGGGACAGACTACTCATTAAAGGCACTGGGACAATTGAGAGTTTTCATATGTGGGAAACCCATAGAAAAGTCTCCCAAGACAGACCAACTGACTAAACGTGAAAAAATACAACTTTAAAACAGAGGAAAAAGGATATGTTTGACCTCAGGCTAGGGGAATGATTTTCTTAAGAAAAAGTTGATAATTTCCTATATCAAAAACACTTCTGGGTAATTAAAAAAAAGGGGCCAAAAAGTGAGAAATCTAACTGGGATAAGGTTTTGCATCATACAGAACAGAGAACTCTATAAATGAGGAAGAAAAGCCATGAAAGTAGAGAAAAAGGGCATATGGATAGGCCACTCAAGGGAAAGGAAACTCAAACGGTGACAGGAAATACCAGTTAGAACAGTAAGATATGGTTTCTTACCCATTGGCATGACAAAGATCACAGTCTGACAGTACCAAGTGTGGGTGAGCACACAGGGAAAGAAATTTTACACGCTACTGACATTCGCCCGATAGAATCTGGAGAACGCACAAGGAGACACTGACAGATATGCTCATTGTTCATAATCATGACAAACTGGAAACAAGCCCAATGTCTATGGAAATGGACTAACAAAACTATGGCATATTCCTATGATGAAATGTCATTTAGTAATTATAATAGCTATAGCTATTATATAAACACAGTTCTTGAAAACAACAGTGTGCCATTTATGATTTTCATGCATACAAAGTCATCCTAAATACTGTTTATGAATATTTCTCTATGTAACTGGAGTTTAACACATGGACTGGATTGATACCCTGCGTGCATCAGAGTGAGCAGGGCAGGGAGGATGGAGCAGGAGAAGGGGGCACAGGGAACTTCAACTTTTCTGTAATGTTTTGTTTTATTTAAAAAGTCTGAAATATGACAATAACACTTGTTCATTTTGGATGGTGGGTAACAGGTGTTTACTATTATATTTTCTGGAGGCTTTTTAATTTCCAAAATAAATGTAATTTTTCTAAAAAAAGAGTTCTTTTATTAACAACTCCTTGCTTCCTTACAGCTCCTACTAGTTGGTCCTAGTTCTGTATCAGAACAAAATAATACCTTTAACACGTGAGCCCTTCAACTCTCTGAACACGGCAATGTGGCTTCTCCAGGCTGTTCAACGTTTTTTTCTGTGACGTAGTTTGATGTCCTTATCACCCTAGTTGGCCTCTTCTGAATATTTTTTGTTTTCCAGTCAACATCCTCGTAGTTAAATTCAGTGTTACAAAACTGAGACACAGAAAATGTGTGATTTTCTCAAGACACACAACCTCATTGTGACAGCTCTGGGACCAGTCTTCTGGCCCCTGTCCCATTGCATTTTCCTTAAAACATTTTCATAATGATCAGCCCTTATTAGGAATCATGAAAAACAAACATCTACACTTAATATCCAATTCATGGCTATAGTTTAAATGACAAGTCCTTTGTAAGCTGACTGGCAAAACATGTAAATGAGTGTTACTACGAATACTGTAACAAATACTTGGGCACGGAGATGCTCTATGAATCACTTCAGAGTTTAGAAAGTGCTTCCACGTAATTAACCAAACACCTCCACTGTAAAGATGAAAAAAATTGAGGAGGATAAATGAGTGGCCCAGGACAGGAACAAGAACTTGAATCCCTCTCTTCCGAGCCTCACTTCATTACACCCGTCAGTTACTCTGCCTGCCCTGGCCCGAGGAGACAAAGCTAAGGACAAGGGGAGAAGAGTTCCCATCATTTTGGTGGTGTTTACCTTGTTATTCCCTCATTTAACAAAGGTTTAAAGCAAGAGATGATGGACACAGGGCATCAAGGAAAAAAGAAAAAAGGAATGGAAATAAGGGAGAGATGAAAAAAAGACACTGGAAACAGAAATGAAACCATGAATTTTCCAGTTTTTCACTTCTCCACTGTCCCCAGGCACCTTGGCAAATGCCGGATTTAGCTGTGGACGTGCAGTCCTAAGGGAACAAACAGCAAAATACCCACCAGGCGTAGGTCTAGCCTTTCCGCTCGCTCTCAGCCGCAGCCGTTCTTCGTGGATCTGGATTCCCGTCATGAGCTGGTACTGCGGAGGCTCTGTGCCGGGGTTCCTTCTGACGAGCCTCAGGTCTCGCTCGTCCATGAGTCGAATCACGTTTGCTCGGTGCATGTTCCCCAAATCATTGCCCTTCTCGTCAAGTACATGAATAATTCGCTCATTAATTTTCCTCCCAATATTACTAAAAGCTGTTTCGTTCTTTTTTTTCTTTTTTCTTTCATCCTGGGTGTCTTCAACAGTACTAAAAGCTTTTGCACGAATTAGGTAGGACAGTCTTGGGGCAGAAGCAATAAGGGACAATGGTGCAGGTACTGTCTTTTGCATGATGTATTTACCAAAACATCTTCTAGTGTAATTCTTTTCAGTCTTTATGATTTGTAATGTTAACCTCTTTAGGAAAACAGCAGCCATCCTAAAAAGTAGGGAGAAAAGTTGATTAAACTCATTTATTCCTGTGGTTTGATATAGTGGTACACGGAGCGTATGTGTGAGGCTGTGGGTACTATGTCATCTGTGAAGGTTACGGATCCATGCATAGGAAATTCATACCAATAACAGAGACTATCAAGTGACCATAGTCACAGTAACTCATGGTAGCACCGTTCCCAGTACAAGTTATTGTTAGAATAAACCATATTTGCATGGTGCTTTCATTTTCCAATTTTTTCTTCCCCCAATATTATCTCATTTGACTCTATTTCCCATGGATCTTGTAGTGCCAGCCTCAAAAGTAAGTATCAGGGGCTGGCCCTGTGGCTAAGTGGTTAAGTTTGCGTACTCCGCTTTGGCAGCACGGGGTTTTGCTGGTTCGGATCCTGGGCGCGGACACAGCACCGCTCATCAGGCCATGCTGAGGTGGCATCCCACAGGCAACAACTAGAAGGACCCACAACTAAAATATACAACTGTGTACTGGAGGGATTTGGGGAGAAAAAGCAGGGGAAAAAAAAGTAAGTAACATCCTGAGGGTTTATGTAGGACAATGCAGTATATAAAATCCTTGGTGATTTATAAACACCAATTCATAAACTTTTAATATAATTAACTGCTAACAATTTATCAGTCTATCGATGGAGCACTATCACGGGAAAGGGGACTCTGCATGAAGGAGGCTGACCCACTGGACGAACCAGCTGAGACTCAGGAAGGAGATGCGCTGACAGTACTCAGAGTGCTGACCTCAGACCGTGTAGACTGCTCACAAGGTAAGGAAGGCGTCACCACCAAATGTTAACTGAGCGTTAGGCACACACCACAATGCTGGTTTTACTTCATGGTTAGAACGCTGCACTGTAAGCGGCATTTTGATGTTTCAGTCGCTTCTCTACCATAACGAGTGTCTCTCTCCTTCCGTTCACACGTTAGGTAAAGCTTAGAAATGCAGGCTGAAGGGGGGACAAGAGGACGCAGTCATCTCATCTAGGGTTTGCTGAGAAATACCAGCAAATGAAGAACTCAGAGGTGTGCCTTGTCAAAGATGAAAGAGGGTAGGATGAGGTGCCTTAAGTAGCACTCCCCAAACAACGGTCCCGGGGCCACCTGCAGGAGAATCACCTGGGGTGTTTGTTAAAACTGGAAATTCCCTACTGTCCCTAGCTTTGATCCCATCCAGCTGTACAACCCACTGATCTGCCCCTGTCACCACCCCTCATGCCCTTGTTGATGATTGATGTGAAGGGAAAAAAGGCACAGTAAATTGAATAGAAAGTGATAGAATGTGTGTCTTCTCACATCCCCCCTGACCCAGCTTGCTAATACCCACATTTATTGCTCTGGCTCCAACCTCTCCTGTGAATCCCAAACTTGTAGAGTTAAACGCCTACCCAGCCTCTCCTCTTAGATATCTGACAGTCCCCCTAAGGTTAACACGTCCAAACTGAATTCTCGACCTCCCACCCTACACTTGCTCCTCCCTCAGTCTTCCCTGTCTCATATAATGACAACACGTCCTTCCAGTTGCTCAGACCAAAAATAAGCAAAGTTATCCTTGACTCTTCTTCTCTTAGCAATTCCTCAGCAGATCCTATTGTTCAACCTCTAAAAGCATCCCGGATCCACCCACTTCTCACCTTCCCCCCTGCTGTCGCCCTGCTCCAGAAACACCATCCTCCCTCCTGGATGACGGTACTGGCCTCCGGACTGCCCTCCCTGCTCCTGCCCGTGCCCCCTGTCATTTATTACCACCTGGCACACCGTGAGCCTTTTTAAATGTGTAAGGGAGATCACGTCCCTCCACTGCTGACAACCCCCACTGGCTCCCATCTCACTCAGGGTAGAAGGCAAGCCCAGACAAGGGCCTCCAGGGCCCTCTGTGACCCAGCCCCACCCACCTCTGCCCACAGCATCTTCCCAGCTTTCTCCAGCTCACTCTGTTCCAACCTCACTGGGCTCCTTGCTGCTCCTTGTAAACACAGAAAACACCCTTCCCCAGGGTCCTTGCACCCACAAGTTCCCTTCCCTCACACAGCTGCATGGTTCACTCACTGCAGGGCTCTGCTCAGATGGGACCGCTGGGCGAGGCCTTCCTTGTGCACTCGAACAGCTCACCCCATCACCTTCAAACCCATTAACCTGCCTTTTAAAGAAAACCCCAGCCTGACATATTACATGTTTGTTTACACGTATCTTCACAATCTCTCCTCACAAGAACATAAGCTTCATGAGAAAATGCAACTGTCCGTTTTGTTCACTGCTGGGTTCCAAACACTTGGGCTGAGAGCCTGGCTCAGTATGTACGCAGTGAATGAATGCACGAGCCAAAGGAAACAGCTAGGAAGGACGTCGGTGTCCGCTGGCATTTAACCTCTGGGTCTTCAGATGCGGCATTCCCCACCAAGACACACAAATGCGGAAAGCCACGTTCTTCACATTTCTAGCTGATATTTCAAATGCCCACTGACCTCAGTGAGATCTACGGCCAGATGTTTCATCCAGAGTGAATGAGATGAGTTACTTTCTAGTCATTCACTGGCTGGGGACTCCAGCTGCAGATGCTGTAAAGGCTCTAAGCCTGGAGCGAACTGGATTTTAAATAGCTGAGATACTTACTGTTTAATAAAAAACAGTCAGATATGTGTTGGTGGAGAAAGTCCCCAAACCAAAAAGAGCAGTAAAGTCTGAAGAGACCAGAGGGGCCTTTTTCCCATTTATCACTGGAAAATAGCAGCACCAAGTCTCAAATTTCCCTCTGAGTTAGGGCGAAACGAACAGTTACGGATGACAGCTAACGTGGCCCGTGCAACGAATTATCAACACATTAACATGGAAAATAACATTCAAAAGCTAGGATTTTTTTTTAAAAGTAAGCAAACAAACTAGGCATAGAAAAAAATGAAAAGAAATTTATGAAAACTCTGGTTATTTGAGGTTGAAGACAAGTGATTTCTTTTCCTATTCTTCCTACTTATTATTTCTCAAGTTTTTCATAAGGAGGAAGTATTTTTTATAATAATAAAAAACTGTATTTATTTACAAAATAAAGACTATTTCAGAAAAATGATGTGGAGTTTTTTCAAAGCTTTGAAAACACTTTCCAAGAAGAAGAAAAGGTAAAGGGTAGAAAAATACTATAACTATGTTTTTTAAAAAAGTTATTTACCATTATGCAAATTTTAAAAAGCTTTACACCTTCTTGACTTAAACAGAAACTAAGCTTCAACAGAAGCTAAATTTTGGCTTTAGATGAACAAAGTAGAAGATATATATGTTTCTTCAAAATAAGCATTCCACAGATAAAAATATAAACCCAAAGTTAAGAAAAATCCTGTGGCTATTAAATTTGAATTGCAAATATCAACATAAATTCAAGTAATTAAAAAACTTTTTATTAGGAAAATTCTCAAATATGTACAGAAAGACTAGTGTAAGAAAGCCCTAAGCGCCCATCACTCAGCTTCCTCATTAACATCACATGGCCAAACCTGTTTCGTGTTGATGCCCCCCACCTCCCAACCATCCATGAACTATTTCAACATAAATCTGATCTTATCAGTAAAGACTTTTGTATGTCATCTCTAAGAGGGGAGATCTCTTTTATCTTTTTAATAACCACAGTAACATTATCCCAACTAATAATCACTCCTTTCTAGCATCAAACATCCAGTTGGAAGATTTTCCTGTAGTGTAATTTTGTTTGCTGATGTTTCATTTATCATTTGGTAGCATGAAGACACTCCCACTGGCCAAACGTGTGATAAGTTAAACAGTAAGGGATAATGACTGAAATTCATTTCAACACTCTGAATATGCAAAAATCTATAAAAAGGAAAGATCATTTGCTACAACTGGATGTGACTATTACCCCAACTCTTTACTGTGAAAATGAGTAATTAAAGAAAAAGAATAAAGCATTTACCCTACCTTTTTAAGAAGACATGTAATCGTCCCGAGTTGATGAAGAAAAGCTCTTCTTTAGAGGAGAATGCCAGCTAATAAATGGAGAAGAAAAGTAAAAGCAATTTATAAACCACCATTTTGCCACCGCAAATCAAATCATGGATTCAGGCAAGGATGGATGCAAATATCATGAGGTAAAAAGCTGAAGATGAACCAAGGTACTCATGTGGTGCCAAAGGGTGACCCAAAGATCACTTCCAAATTGAAACAAGAAAAACACACTCTGGGCGTCACCCTCGTAAGCAGAGGTGAGACCCAGCATCTCAGCAGGACAAGCTGACACCGCAGCGCGCCGCCTCCTGTGCTGTGGCAGGTGTCCGGTGCCTTCTGTGAAGCAGTCCTGCCTAAAAGGTTTAACCTGAACCTGCTCCACCTCCAGACTTAGCTTCCGGTGTCAAGGAACACAAGCACCAGACTTAGAGAGGAACAAATCAGATGACACCAACAGGAAACAATCTGACAAATACAGACTGCGGGACGTGACAAGCGGCTTGGCGTCTTAAAAAAAAACAGTGCCACTGGGAATAAAAAGACAGGGGAGGGAGGCTATTCTTGAATAAAAGACTAACGAGACAGAATTATAAAATGCAGTATGTTTGAAAAAAGCAACTAAAAAGACATGTTGAGATAAAGGAGAAAATGTAAATATGGATTAGATTCTTGGTGGATTAGATACTATCAGAGAAGTGTGGTTAATTTTCTTAGGTGTGAAAATGGCATTCTTAGGAAAGGAATGCTGAAGTATCTAGGGCAGAGTGTCATGACATCTGCCACTTACTTTGAAATGGTTTGGCAGAAAATAGAAATGCAGTTACCGCAAGATTTGCTGAATCCAGGTATATGGGTGGTTAGTTATTAGTCTTTCAACTTCTCTGTATGTTTAAATTTTTTTAATAATTAAAAAGTTTTTTAAAAAAAGACTCCACAGCCTACAGGAAGGAAAAAGTTCACTGGCCATGCCAGTATTATTCCAGTCTGTATAAGTTATATACTTCGCCATAATTTAATAAATTGGCATTGTGTCTTTATATATCTTTAAAAAATATCCTCTTCATTAGTTTCAAGCCTATGTCTAAGTGAAGCCTATGTCTAAGGAACTTTACAAATTTAAAATTCTGATTTTTTTGTAATGTAAATCACCTTTATTTCTCCATCTAGTTTTCATCAAACCAAAGTCTAAAAGTGTCACACCACCATAAATGGTGGTGGTTTCGGTTTGAAGCAGAACTTGTACAATTTTTTGCTAACAGTTAGAAGTTAACACGTCTCTTTTAGAGTAGTGGTTCTTAGAAACTGGAGGCCTAGCAATGTCATCTGGGGATGCTTTTTCAAAACATAAGGTGTTTCCTTGCCCCTCTCCTGTTAAGAACCACTGTATCAGGACCCCCAGAAAAAGATGACATAAGAAAGTGAGTAAGAAAACATTATACTATAAGTGGGGTCAAGCAGTTTAAGCTAGCATATCTGGGATTACCTTTAGCCTTTCGAGGTTGATGCAGAACAGGAAGCCATGTTCTCTGATGAAATGTCTTTGATACTTCAGTCAAATAAATAATAGGCTGGATGAACCAGGAGTCTAAATTAAAATAAACATGCTCATGTTCTTATCACACATTTAATCACTCATACTCCCACGACTATCCTTTCTGAGACGTCCAAAAATATTTTAAAAGCCAATTAAGTCAGTTACTTAAAATGCATAATTTTATAGTATGAGATATTCATTTCTGATTCCATGATTACTCAGACCTTTTTGAAATCATGCTGTGCTGCATGAGTCTGCATCTATTAGCAGTTTCAAACTCAACAGCTGACTCCACATTCTGGAAAGAAACACGTAATTTCTGTGTTGTTGTTCCTTATTTCCTTGAGATTGGGTCACTGAAAAATCCCGTTATCTTCCAAGGACTGGAGGCTGAACTGACAAATGTCCCAAAGCCCCTTGACGACTCTGTGCTCTATTTTCTCTCTTTTAGCAACTCCTGCTACTTTCAGTCTCATCTCTCTTCTTGGACCTCTTCAGTATCATCACTTACTTTCCTAGGACAATGTACGAAAAAATATCAATCGCATTATTCCAATGCACACAACACAGAGGAATTTTAATGTTTGACCCACGCATTCCATAAGGAATTGAAATGATTTAAATTTTAAGCCATAAAGTGGGAAATCATGAAGTAAATATGTGGCTACTTCCACATGTTGTGTATTTCAGGTGAGCTTAGAGATGTGTTCTCTACATTTTCACATTAGTCTTTGGTTGTCTAAAATGAACAATATTCTTTGAGGACAATTTTCCCCAACTATTATGAGAATGTTTAAACATACAGAAAAGATGAAAGACTGTAGAGTGGACACCCCAATACCCATTCACCCAGATTCTACATGTTGCTCTCCCTGCTTTATCTATCCATCCATTTACTCCTTTTTCCATCCATTTTATTTATGTTTTGATACACTTCAAAGTAAGCTGCAGATATTGGGAAACTTCATTCTCAAAAACTTCAGCATGAATATCATTAACCAGAGTTCAATATTTGTTTACAATTCTTGTCGTTTTCTTTTGAGGAAAAATTTACATACAAGGAAATGTACAAATCTTAAGCATATCATTTGATTCATTAGTTTTGACAAGTACAAACATCTCTGTAAATAAAACTCCTATCAACCTGCAGAATATTACCGTCACCCCAGAAAGTTCCCTCATGCCTCTTCCAAGTCAATCCCCATGCCCATCCAGAAGCAGGGACTGTTCTGATTTTTCTCCATCTGGGTCTATTCCATGATTTCATACAAATGGAATCCAACAGTATGTACTCTCTGTTGTAAGGCCTCTCAGCATGTTTTTGAGATTCATCCATGTTGTTGCACGTATCATTAGTTTGCTCCTTTTTATTTCTGAGAATTGTCCCAGTATATGACTATACCATAATTTTTATTTTTATTTTTTATTTCATTTTTTGAGGAAGATTAGTCCTGAGCTAACATTCACTGCCAATCCTCCTCTTTTTGCTGAGGAAGACTGGCCCTGAGCTAACATCCGTGCCCATCTTCCTCTACTTTATATGTGGGACGCCTGCCACACCGTGGCTTGATAAGTGGTGTGTAGGTCCGTGCTGGGGAGCCAAACCTGCAAACTCGGGGCCGCTGAAGCGGAGTGCGCGGATTTGACCACTACACCACTAGGGTGGCCCCATATACTGCAATTTTTATATCCAGTGTCCAGTTGATGAACACTTACGCTATTCCTAGTTTTTGGCTATTACAAATAAAGCTGCTGTGAACATTACTGTACAAAAAAGACCAAACAATTATTCTCCAAAGGACAGCTGCATTCCCTTTCTAATATAGTATTCTGCATTACCTCTTCACAGGTAGCCCTTATGATACATTATTCCACATTACCTCTTTAGGAGGTACTGATAAGGTATTTGTAAGGCAACTTCCTGGAACATGATTTAAATGTGTGGTTATGAGAGGGCCCTATCTTGTACGAAAGTAAACTGCTTGCATGCATTTTGAAATTACATAGACTGAAAAGATGAAAATAACTTCTCTTACGTGAAAGTGTTCACGTACTGCCTGTCTTTCCTATACATCTGATATTCACAAGCTCTTATTGATACCGATTCTTTCCAGGGAGGCTGGATCGAAGTTACATAGATCCTAGTGAAATAAATACTTGTGAAATTAATTTTGCCAATGCCTAGGACTTTAAGAATCCTCTCTGACACCTTCCAAAGGAGCTTCACAAAGTCCTTGCTTCTGCCTGCAGACCTGCAAACTGCCCCACCTGCCCGATTGCAGCTGGAGTTGTGCAGCCTTGATCCCAGGGGACTGCATCATGACACTCTCCCTTGGCTCTGGCTTTGCTCTTCCAGGACCAGCACAAAGTACTCTCTATACCGAGGCCCGCTCTTTGAGAAAACACTGATTTGTAACACTAGAAAAAGCCAAGATATATCTTTGGCCAATTTCTTAACCACACTTCTTTAGCCATAAAATTTTTCATTTATTTTACTTTTTCAGTTATTTATTGAAATAACTATCCAGAAAACATTTTTTAAAAAGCTTTTACATCCAGAGCTAGACTCAATATTAAAAGTTGGACTTATTTTTGTACGTTAATCTTCTAAACGGTCATCTGCTCTTCCAGAACGCCCTATCTCAGCGGCCAGCATGATGGTCCATCCCGAGCCACAAGTCGTCTTTTCTGCTTCTGCCCTCCCTCACTCTCACAGCTAATCCAACACCAAGTCTCATCAATTTTACTTCCTAATACCACTCCACTCCATCCACCTCTCTCCACACCCACTGCCACCGCCCTAGGATAAGACATTTTCATCTCTTGTTTGCATTCCCATTAGTCTCCTTCCTAGGCTCCTACACCGCACTTGAACCCTGTAATCAATTCCCGCCTCTGCACTGCGGTCACCACCCCCAGTGCTCTCTCCACCTTAAATTGCCCTGCGACGACCAACATCTTCCATGAGGCCAAAAGGCCGTTCCCACCTCTCCACCCTCGTTATATACCAAACTTCCTTCCCTGCCGAAGCCACAACGGCCTTTCAGATTCTGGAAATGCTCTTCCCCTTGGTTTAGGAAACACCAGATGCTTGCCTGCTGCTATCATTCTTCTAATTACCTCCCTAGCTAAGCCACACCTCCCTCCTCCCTGTCTCCCGCCCCCATCTGACTGTTGAGCTCAACATTAAATGCTTCCACAGTAGGGTTTCTTTCCTTTATGGCACTTACTACAATTACAATTTTGTGATTACCTTATGACCGTCTCTCTCCTTCACTAGATGGTAATTTCTATGAAGCAGGGAATGAATCTCATTTATCCTTTATTGTATTGTGCCTGGCACAATAAACAGTAGTTCATTTTCCAGAACCCTCTCCACTCTATCTACTTTCTTAGACTGAGGCCTCTCGTGACATGGACTTGGAACTGCGGCTTTTCAGGGAGAAAACTTCTCAGGAGTCTTATACATACATGAAGCCTACTAAATGACAAATGGGGGAAAAGGAAAAATCCCACAATCCCTTAGCGACCTTCCCCAACAAAGCTTCCTCCGGGGGCTGCAAGGAGCAAGGCAACAGTCCCGTCTGCCCTTCCCGCTCCGGGGCAGAAACCAGGACCAAGCGGCCAGGAGCGCTCCGAGAATGCACACCCGGTCACGTGCACCGGCGGCGGCCACGCCCACCCCGGAAGGGGACCTGCGGCGCGCCTCGGCTGGAGAAGGGCCCCAGCGACGTAAGGCGTGCGTGCGTACGTGCGCCGGGATGGCGAAGCGGAAGGGCCAGGGGACTGAAGGAGCGGCTCCGGGCTACCGGGACAGCGGCTTGCGCCCGAAGTCAGCTTTAGCGCCTGGCTGAGTCCCCGACCCGCGGCAGGGCCTGCGGGGCCTCTCTGCGTCCCGCTCGACGGGATGGGTGGCAGTGACCTTCCAGGGACACGGCCGAGGGCAATGTCGCTTCCTCCACAGGCACGTCCCCAAGACTACGTCCTCACGCCGCAGGTTCCCCCGCTGCGTGCTCAGTGCCCCTCGCCCGTAGCTTTACCTGTACCGGCCGGCGATGAGCAAAGTCTGGCAGAAGGAGCCGGTAAACGGGCTCCGCCGTGAGACCCCTTCGCTTTCCGTAGTGGGCGGGGCTTCGCCCAGCGTCTTTTAAAGGAAAGGTGACGTGGGAGGAGCGCCTTTCCAGCTGGCGGGATAAATACCTCCGACAGAAGGTGCGGGGGGCGCGCAAGTTCCTGCTGCTTAGAGGGGCGTCTCGGACTCTGTGCCGCGCTTGCGACCGTCAGCGGCTCTTCTCGTTACGTTACGTTGACGCCAGCCTCCGTGCTTCTACGTGCCCACTGGGGCTTACAGAGGCTTGTTTCGTAAACGTCTTTTGTTTAGTAAAACGCTGTTTTAATTTCATGTTTAATAAACTGTTTCATAAGCGTCTTATAATTATTGTGCGTCGGGGAGCCCTGCCCCCTGTTTGCAGGTGAGCAGACGGAGCCGGGCGCTAAGAGGTTGCCCCGGCGGCGTCGGTGACTGCGCTCGGTGACCGCGCGGGGCCGCCGGGACAGACGGAGGGGGCCGGCGGGTAAGATTCGAGCGGAGTTGTGCTTGGGGGGCTGGGAACCGCTCATCCGTTGTCCGTGGGGTTGCGGGGGTCGCGCACACCCGCTGGGGCAGGGCCGACGCCCCGTTGTGGTCCGTGGTCCGGGGCCCTCAGGTGCCAGCCTCCTCTCCGGTGGGAGGGTCCTCGGTGGCGGAGTGGGGATCTGCAGTCGTGACAGCGAAGCCGCCCGAGTGGAGAAGACTCGCGTTTATCCCATGGGAGGAAATACGTTTATACACTGGAGTCCAGCGGAACACACTGCTTTGTCTATTCTCATTAAATAACTGCTCGAATCAGGTGTTACCTTCCTTATTACAGATGAGGAAACTAGTTCAGCCTGAAGTAGCTGCTTGGGAGCAAGGACCGAGGCTCCGTTTCCTCATCACGTCCACGGCGTCTGGCACGGAGGCGCTGATGTTGGCTGAAATAGTGAAGTGAACCCAGACGCAGCTCGTGTGTGTGACCCGAAGTCCGAGGTTAGCGTTTGCATGTTGATCCTTTCCAAGCTAAACAAGAACTAGAGATTCGTTTTATTCTTCCTCGATACCACGATGCAAGTTTGTGTAGTGTAGATGTGGGGACAGAGTGACCAGCACGGTACCTTGGCAAATGGTAGGTGCGCAGCATTTCTAAGTGCGCCGTTTATAGCATTTACCTACGGGCCTGCCAGGCTCTGTGGTAAGGGCTTTACTAATAGGAGTCATTGAATCCTCAGGACAGCCTTGTTACCCCATTTCACGGAGGACGGAACTGAAGCATAAAGAAGTTAAGTAATTTGCCCAAGGACACACAACTAGTAGAGAATCAAGAATAAAAAGACCCAGGCAGCCTGGTGCCAGAGTTGGTGCTCTGAATGCCGGATGTTCCTTCTGCTGCTGAATAAAGAAGAGCGAAGCCAAGTTCCAAGTCCGGGAGGATACTGAGCGTAATGTGTAAAATTGATGGAAGACTTGAATAGCTAAAGGAAAGACTTGAAATTTGGTAAGATGAGGATGTGAATTAAATTCACACCCAGTGATCTTGCATAGCCCAAGCTCCTGCCAGCATCCAGTTTGTAGCCCCTCTTTGAAGCCCCATCTCTAAGTGTCCAGAGTAGATGCTTTGGGAGATTTTCTAGACTGCCGTTGTCAGATGTCTCAACAAGAAGGAGATGCTTTAGTATTCCTGGAAGGAGAGGAACAGAAAAGGGGTGGGCGTTAGAGACCTGCCCTCAGAGAAGCTGTTTTTTTCATCTGCTCCCTTGAACTCTGCTTTGCCCTCCAGCTCAGTGGGACACGGCAGCTTTTAAAGAGCCTGCCTTGGGCTCAGCTCTGTCCCGGCAGACTTTGCAGACTCTTGAATAAAGACGGTAAAGCAGGCAACTGGCCCTCCTAGGACCCTTCCCTATATTTATGGCCTCTACTTGTGGAGGCATCCTTCTTGGTTTGGGGAGGTCATGTTACTGTGCCGTAAACTATCTGGTTCAGTATGTGCATAGAGGAGGACTCTCGGAGGTCTATAGAGCTTTCCCAATTATTATTGTTTCTACCCATAATTTACAAAAAAAACGAACCGAAAAATACCAAAGTGTAACTCAGTAAGATTCAAATCCTGGGGGCTCTAAAACGTCTACGTTTTCTTCCACGATGAGATTCCATGGTTGGTCCCTGAATGACACATTTTCTCACACAACGCCTATTGTGGTGTTTTGCTCTGATGAAGGATTAAAGGAGATATTTTGTCCCTGTCCTTGCCTGTCATCTTTCAGAGTCACCTCTCTCTCCGCTGGCATGGAGGGAACCTTCCGAACAAGGAGACGTGAACAAGGAGACTCGTAAGAGGCAGTTACTTAGCCCGAGGTCGTTGAGGTTCAATATATCTGTTCCACAAAGTAATTATCCTATGGGTGATTCCGTTAAGAAGTTACTAACATTAGGCTGTGACTTCATGATGCCACAATGACAGCAACAATTACTTTAAGAAGCTAATGTTAAACTAATCAAAATCCTAGGTTTATTTTGAAGTTACGTAGATGTGGCAAAGCCTGGGTGGGTTCAGATATTCAGCATATTCTCCAACAAATAGTTGTGAATGGATCATAGGTAGTTAATCTACACCTTCCTCCATTAGGTTGTAAGTTCTTATCAGGGCAGTTTTGCTAAAATGGGGGAGCCGAAGTCTTATGTGTCAGATCTATGCAGTGCCAACTAAATCTGGCTGAGAGCAGTTGTCTTGAATGGCAGCAACCTCTCATCACAGAGCCAGTTTGAATAGTTGAGAGGGTCCATGCTCTCCTGAGTTTATGTTGACAGACTTGTCAAAAAGGACACGGAAAGCAAGGTGCGCAGGGAGCTCTGGCTGAGCGTGAGGTCGCTCAGGACAAACCTCCTGGAGATGCTCTCAGCCCAATCCTGTGTCTGCTAGCATCACATCAGAAAGCTGGTGGCCTCACCGAGTGTCTGCCGTTTATCCTCAGGCAGAACTGTGATTAATCCATTCCAAACACGTAAACATCCAGAAACAACAACAAAGAAAGAAAACTCCAGGCGAGGAGATTTAGCCCTCCCTCAGGAGCTCCTGTCAATGTTTTAAAGGACTTAGGGGTCTTTTCCTTTAAGTAACCAAAATCCCTCGTATGGCTACTTCTGCCAGTTCCCCAGAGGAGCTGGAGAACATCTGGTGACCACATCTGTGTTAAACCCTTTATGTGCTCTCAAACTATTATTTGATTCAGAATAAATTTCTTTATCATGTGTAAGATTTCCCATAACATTAGACTCCAGATTAATCATTTCTCTTGTCAAAAAATGATGGCCCCAATTATTAAAACATGATGGTGGTTGTGAATGAGCAAAATAAATTTGTCTGAAGTGAATGACGTAATGAATTTTTTAAAAAGCTTTCATGTCTGCAAAATAAAAGAGTATTTATATATAGAAGGTCCATTTATCTTCTGTGAAAAGTCTCTTTTGCAACTGAATGAAGCAGAAAACAGGTTCAAAAGTCTCCTTTGGAAAAACAACAGAGCCATGTGTTTCCATTTCAAAGGGATTGAGTTTTGGGGTGATTCAGTTAACTTTGGTCATTTTGAAACCCTTAATGAAAATAATTCCCATTACCCTCATAGGACATCATGCAGAAATATAAAGAGCTAATACAAGAAACCTTACAAAACATTACACAGTGTTTACTACTGTGTAAATCAGAGCAAAACAGGACCAAGTTATTAGTGTTTTACATTTTAAATAAAACTCAGTAATGTTTTCAAACACCCAAATGAGATCTTCTAGTTACGAGGCTGTATAAGGAAGGCAGTACTGACAGCAAATGTAATGTTAGTGATAAAACAAGTTCGTATTCTTACTGTTTCATATCTTTGAGGGAAATGGAATTAAAGGCAAATTATCCCATTTTGGAGGGTTCCTCCGATGTGGAGTTTGCACGTTGACTGTACAGGGAGACTCTCCACTGTACGTTTCCGTCATTGTTCGGCTGCTCTCCCCCGAAAGTTGCTAGGGTCCTCTGCAAAGATTGTAAAGGCTGCTTTGTTGGCAGCCTGGGATGCATCCGTGCCCTCACCAAAGTGGAAGTGAAAGCTCTCAGTTTTCCTTCTTTCTTTTTTTTTTTGCAACAGTAAATCTACTAATTTTACAGTCAGTTGCACAACAATAGGTTAATTTGTGTGAAGTCTGCGTTCACAAAGAAAACCCAAACTTCAGGGGCTTGAATGCCTGGAACTGCAGTGTGATCGCTGAAGGGTAGACTCGCTCCCAACTTGCTCTGGAAGGATGCGGATAGCCCACTGTCACCTGCTCTTCCGCACAGGTGCTGACCCCTCGGTCGATGCAGGGCCTCCTGATGGGGTAGCAGGAAGGCTGGGCTTTTGTGTGCCACAGAGAACGCTTTTGCAAGGACTGGGCTGGTTTTCTCCAGCAGCCACAGGAAGCAGAAGAAAGAAAAGAGTAAGGGCCACTGTGAGGGTCAGAGTGGGTTAAATTTAGTTAACATCAGAGGTTATAGCTTTTAACAAGAACTTCGAGAAAACTTATTCGAAGATGCAATTTGGTTCTTCTTTGTCAACTTTTCTTTTTTTTTACCCTATTGATCGTGACGGCTTAACAAAGTTTTTATATGCTAGAGGTTTTCGTCCTTTAGGGAATAAAGGACTGTGTTCCTAAAAAGAGATGCAGGTGGAGAACCTTATTATAAAGCTTCCATGATTTTCAAATTGGGAGCTTTAAAATAGTCTCCCTGCTTGACTAAGTCAAAAATAATTTGTGAGGGTTGTTGAAAAAAATCCCCATTAGAAATGGAGGAATGTTTCAGCAGTCAAATGCAGAGGCTCAGTTTTCTAGAAGCTTCTTTGTGTGTATCTTATTTTCAACCATTCTAGTATAGTTTTCCCAGTTGTTATTCACAATTACCAAAGAGGCCTCTTAAGTTTCCATATGTGCATTTCTTTAAATTTAGAGCGTAATATTGGACAGAACTAGTTGCTTATTGTATTTCTATGTAAGCAAAAAAGATGGCCACAGATTTCTGTGTATGTCATTTATACTCTTGTCATTCTGTTACTCCACATTTTCTGTTCAAGGACTGAATTGTTATGGAAATTGGTCTTTCAAAAGGGAGTCGTGTAAACTCGAGCCTTTCGATTGGAAACTCACACCTTTCAAAAGGTGTGATTACCCAGGACTGACCGATGTTGAGTGTCTTGCCTCATAGGAAGGCCTCATGTATTATTTAGCTTCATTTCTACGATAAATAAGAGGCTTGACTTTTTTGGAGGGACTGTATGCGTTCATTTAGCTGAGGTTTTAGAATGCTGGGCTTGGATTTCCAAGCCTTGTTTTCTATCCGATGGCGAGCAGGGTAAGCGGAAGGTACACATCTGAGTGCTGTACTGTAATTTGCATTTGACAGCGTGTTTGTTTTAGGTAGGGTGAGGACTCAGTTGTTATTTGGGAAATAAGATGATTTGTATATGAGAATCTTCTGGATACCTAAGCTTACCTCTCAAATGAACACCAAACTTCTTACCATTTTGAATAAGAGTATTTTATATGATGTATCACAAGCTTTATTGCTTTCTGAAACGTGGTATAATGAATGTTTTTTTGAAGAATGGGATATCATTATGACTATCCATATTATATGGTGGTATATAATACCGTCACACCTGTATTAAATGCCGCTGCACTGTGTGGCCCAAACTGTCATAGTTTTTGAATTGGCAATTCTACTTTTCATAGGTTGTGTTACTCCTCTCTTGCCGTTATACTGTTAGCTACCCTTTCTTGTTGCTGTAATTGCTTACCTAAGTTTGATAGTTCTTCCCCCAAAATTCTGCTCAGCGTCAAATTTGATCTCACCTGGCCAAACGCAGGTGTTGCTTAAGGGCCCTTCCGGCTCTCTGTCTCATCTTATCCTAGATCAGCCCACATGCCACAGCCAGGGTAACCTGGTTTGAGTAAAGCTCCATTCACATCATTTTCTTGCTGAAAACACTTCTGGAGCTTTTCCTGCGGCCTGCCTGCTGGATTGGGTTGTGCTGTGGCGCTCTGGCGTTTATGGCCCTCTGCGGCATGTCTATAGCCTATTGTAGCTGACAAGTCAGTCAGTTTGTCTGCTCTGCCCAGCCCCTTTCTCAGTCTCCGCTCCTGCACATGGCCCTCGGAAGGGGAGCCTTACCGTCCGGAAGTCCTGCCCCCGTGCCCTCTTTCTGTTCACAGCTGACTGGACCAGGGGAGAGGCCTGACCTGCAGGAAACCAGTCCACCGACTGTGACAACTTCCAGATTCAAACTGGGAGATTTGTTAGGTGTCAAAGAGTACTTGTGGCAGGGATACCAACTGGATGTCCATCCTCCTCTTTCCCAGGTTTTAGCTGGGACATAGCTGCCCAGAATAAAGACAGTATGTGCACTCCCTTACAGATAGGGCTGGCCGTATGACCAAGTTCTGGCCAGTGGAGTATATGAAGTGGGATAACAGTAAGTTCTGGGAAGGTCCTCATTTATGCTTGTTATCCTGGTATAATTATTAATAGTGAAGACTTCTCTCATGATGGTTCCAGTTTAGATGGCTTATTACACGGTCACTCTAAATAAGCAGATATGTGCAACTTCCAGAAAGTTCTCTCAGAAAGAGAGTGTGCTCTTCTCCCCTTCCTTTTTTCTGCTGGCTGAAAGGTAGACATGATAGCTGGAGCTTGGTCAGCATCCTGGAGCATGAGGGGCTCATGAAATGGAAACCATGCGTGGTAGAGCAATGAGATAGAAGGAGCCGGAGTCCTGACACCATGGCACACCATGCCTCTGGATTTCTTGACTGTGAGAAACAAGCTTTTATATTGCAGCTGAACCTACTCCTAACCGACACAGTGCCTGAGCTAAAAAGGCTTATAGAGTTGTTTATTTCACAGTACAAGCCCATGCCACGTGCAGGCTGGAGTTCTTCAAGCAGATGAGTTGGTTTGCAGAGAGAAGTAGGAAAATGGAATAGACCTCTAGACAGAACTACATGGAAAGACAAGGGCCTGTGGGGGCCCTGTGAGAAATGGGGGCAGGAGACTTCATTTCTGCCTTTCTAATGCCAGTCCCCGTGGGGTCCCCCGGTCTTCATTTCCTGTCTTTCGATAACTCTTCGGTGGATTTTCTCGTGGTAACTTTTTGTTCATTGCAGCCAGACAGCATCTTCACAGCTGTGACTCCCTCTTCACCCCGCACTGCCGAGCAGCCAAATGACTAGCTTGTGTTCCCTAACCATATGCCTGTCCATGCTCTACCTACTGCCCGGAATACGGAGCCCTCTTTCAAGCCCTAGCCCAGGTACCACCTCTTCCCTGAAGCCCTCCCTTAGCCTGACTGAATGAATTTCTCCCTTTCTTGGACCACTGTCATTTTATTTTTGCTTCTTCTGTGGCATTTATTTTTCTTTGTCTCCTAATAGAGTTACTCGGCATCTCCTGCCCTCCACATTGTCAGCTGCTTAAAGGCAGGGACTGCATCTTTGCTAGCTCTTACGTCATCTGTAGTTTTATGTCGCCTGAGGCCCACGTATCTCTAATGTACGCTGAGTATTTGTTGACGTTGTGGGCAGTAAAACACACAGCTAGCCTATTCAAATGGTCTCTGACCATTTGAGAGAAAGCGACTCTCTGTGAATAGGTGTGCGAGCTCCGTGCAGGTCTCGTGTCTTTTAGAGGCTTTCTTCTCCTTTCTGGCTTTGAGTTGAGAGGACTTAACAAGAGACCATGAGGTATTTTATCACAGTTTTAGGAGGAACCTTTCTAAGCCCCTGTGGGAAGCTCTGCTGAGATAGGCATCTTTGATAGAAACAAACTCCTTGGCTAAGCATGCTTACTACTGTAGTAATTGACACTAATTGAATTAGAAAGTCTAAACAATTGATGAAAAAAATCCCAGAGAAAGTCTGTGTCTCATAAAGGAGTAGCTGGGTCTTTGGATTTCCTTGTATGAGTTATTACATTATAGACTCTGTAATTGCAACCTACACTCCATGTAATCATCATCATCATTGTCAACAAGATTATTAAATGATCGCATGTGTAACCTTGGGCTGACCTTGCTGCCTCTAAGACAGGAAGTTCACAAAGCAGTAGAAAATTCAGTCTAACTACTTCATTAATTTTCTGTACATAATTGATGGATTTTTATGACTGATTTGGTCAAATGTTTTGGTTTTAACGTTCACAGTAAAAAAACAGACATCCTAAAATGGATCCATGTGTAAGTATAATTGCAACTTTATTACTGTAAGAGCATGTGACAATAATGGGGACTAATGAAGGAAAAGGTGTGGGTGGCTCACATCTACGATGCATCATTTATAGGCTGTAATGGACAGCCTTTGACAAATTATAGCACTCCCTTCACACTCAACCATCGTGTCATGACGCACTGGTGTGCTTAAGTTTTTAATATTAATAATCATTTAAGTCACAAAAGTTGCCACGGATTTTAGTTATTTAGTTTTATTTTTTACAAATTAGAATGGATTTGAAGTTATTCTTTCTACACTTGGCCTCTAGCTCACTTGCCTCCTTGAATGGGGGAGAGAGAGCCTCTGAGTTACAGGAGGAGCTGCGTCTTATCCCAAACCTGGTTAGACCAGGCTGGCGCATGCTTCCTGGACACCCAGAGGGTGGCCAGAAGGCTTGCGCAGGAGCTTCGTCACACCCGTGTGGGGCTGCCCCAAAGGGAGATAACTGCTTTCCCAGGCAGAGGGGACAGCATGGATGAAAGGTCAAAACCACGCTGAGAAACACCTTAATGTTAATGTAACAACGTAACAAAGTCAGAGAAGAAAACACAGGACAAGGAAGAATTCTCCCAGTGTAGAGAGGTCTGGAGAGTCACGTGGCCAACTGCTGGTTGCCAATAAGGCTGAGCAACTGGGAGTGCAGACCTGGAGCCAGGGGCCTTAGGTCAGCTGATTCGGTGGCTGGTCCAGTTACTTACTCTCTGTAAACCTCTGTGTCATCGTCTGTTATACGGGGATGACAAAAGTATCTTCCACATAGGTTTTTTAACATTTAAAAAACACACACAGACACTCATACAAACACATGCAGTCCCTGGCGCATGCGGGTGTTCAACAAATGTTAGCTATTAAAGTAACCAACAGAAAACATGCTCATGAAAAGTAAAAGTGTGTCATTCAAAGAAAAGACTTGGATAAGCCTTTTAGGAACAACAGCAGATTCAATTGTATTGGCTGAATTTTCCCTGATCCCAAACCAATCTTTTTCTATCACCTTTTAATTTCCTTATTTGTAATCTGGTTTAAAGCTGGGTTATAAAAGCAATCTTCCTCATTTTCTCTTGTTTTTATTCATTTTTCTTAATGCCCTGTTATTGTAATACCTGGTAAGCATGTTATAGCATGGCTTAACTTTCCTAGGCTTCTTTGATTGAGTGAATCTTTTGTTTACAAGGAGCCTATGAATTTGTGTACATTTTTTAGTTACTGCCTTTTCAAGGAAACTGAATAGTTGAATTTAAAATGGAATGGTGATGACAAAAAAAAGCATTAAAATAACGTCTTAAGGGGCCGGCCCCATGGCCGAGTGGTGAAGTTTGTGTGCTCCACTTTGGCGGCCCAGGACTTCACCGGTTCAGATCCTGGGTGCAGACATGGCACCGCTCAACAAGCCACGCTGAGGCAGCGTCCCACATGCCACAACTAGAGGGACCCACAATTAAAAATACACAATTACGTACCGGGGGACTTTGGGGAGAAAAAGACAAAAATCTTTAAAAAAAAAAACCATATGTATTTAAAAAAAAAGTTTTAAATCTTGACAGTGAATGAATTTAAGGATTTAAAAATTGAAGGAGAAATTCAAATCAAAACTACAATGAGATACCACTTCACATCTACTGGAATGGCTAGAATCAAAAAGAAAAACAATGCCAAGTGTTGGCAAGGATGTGGAGAAATTGTACCCTCATAAATTGCTGGTGGAAATGTAAAATGGTGCAACTATTTTGGAAAACAGTCTGGAACTTTCTTAAAAAAGTTAAACATAGACTTACGATATGACCCCAAAATTGTATTCCTAGGTATCTAGCCAAGAGAAATGAAAACACATGTCCACACAAAAACTTGTACATGAATGTTCATAGCAGCATTATTCACAATAGCCAAAAGTGGAAATAACCCAGATGTCCATCAACTGATGAATGGATAAACAAAATGTGGCATGTCCATACAATGGAATACTCTTTGGCCGTTTGAAGGAATGAAAATACTAACACGTGCTACAACATGGATGAACCTCAGAAACATTGTGGGCAGTGAAAGAAGCCAGTCACAAAAGAACACACTGTTTTTCCAGTTATATGAAATATCCCAAAATGGCAAATATAGAGAGACAAAATAGAATAATGGTTTCCTAGATCAGGGGGTGGAAATGGAAAATGATTATGAATAGAAAAGAATCTTTTTTTAGAGTGATGGAAGTGTTCTAAAATTAGATTGTGGTGATGGTGGCTTAGCTTTATAAGTTTACTGAATTCATTGAATTGTACACTTAAAATGGATTGATTTTATTGTATGTAAATTTTATGGTGTGTATTGATGTTATATATCAATATGGCTATTTAAAAAATAAATAAAAAACCAAAGGAAACATTATTTTAATAATAACATAATTAAAACACTTCTAGGAAAATGCTATTATATAACAAGATTGTCATTTTACCAAATTTCTGTTCTTAGTGTTGCATCTGTTTTATCTT